GGACCATGTCACGACCAGAACACCATTAGTACTCAAGATTGCTGTACCGCAAAATCTGCGGGCATCACACTTAGAACAAGCAGAGACAGCGGCAGACAGAAGCAAGATTGACTAACTGTATGGGGCTATCTCAGAATTTCGCCTATTTCAGACTTGTCCTCATCCATTCCCACACAGATTTTACCCTTTAGATGGTTACAAGGCGATACTGTCAGACGACCCAGGAGGAATAAAACTGATTCGCCGATGTTCAACCAACAAACTTTAAAAAACGCCAATTTTTTTCAAGGTGAGAGCTAAAAAGGTACAGTAATGAAAGTTGAAATTTCCGAGTATTTGGCAATTTCGCAGTAAGTACATAAAGTTTGTTCAGGACTGTAGGAATATCTTGAAATGATAGTCATTTATTGGCTTTACAATGGGATTAAATCATTCTGGGAAAAAGATTTATGTGTGAGGGAGTCCGAGCTTTGCAAGCTGTTGCTGGCATTCATCATTGAACGTTGTTCCCAAATGTTCCCATGCTGCTTTCTGATCTTCGCTCAAAGTGGCTCCTTTGCTCTCGAGGAATGCCGTCCAGATACCCCAGAAAGCCTGAATAGGATATATGGAATTTTTGACTAAACACACAAATAGGATCAGATCCCAATCGGACTTGGTATGAGGACTGGCCCAAGACGGCTAATTCCTCGCCTGAAGTGTGACTGTGAAGGAACCACCTACCTTCCACAGGCTGGGATCAAGTCCTCTGGTAGCGTGTCTGTTCATCAAATCACGGCAAAAAGCGCGAAACACCATTTCCTGGATTGAAGCTAGGGTTGAGCTTTTTGTATTTTTTGTTTTTTACTTTTTTAATATTTCTCCTTGTACGGTAAGCTTAACAGCAGTTGACGAACTCACATTATCGTAAGTATTTGCAAGAATATGCACAGACATCAGTAGGGCAGTTCCTTGTTTTTCGAATCTACAAATAGGGCTTACTGTTTTGAAACAGATTTGACTTTCCTTTCGATTTTTTAAGGTTCAATTAGTCTTTGATACTGTACCTTTCACTTTTTTCCACGTCGTCGGCTGTGAAGTCTTCCGCTCCTTTGAAGTACTTGCGAAGATCAGGGTGATGAGTAAACATGCTGAAATTACGGTGTTTGTCCTTTAATCTATTGATTGATTGGAGAACCTGGGAATGAGAAAACCTGAGATTGGGACTACGGTAATTCAGCTATTCACTTACAATTTGTAGAAGTCTGTGCCATTATGCATTTCAGCCGGCGTTTTGCCGAGTGGTACAACTCCCATAGAGTCCACACATGCTTTTTTCACGTCGGCCATTCTGCAAGGAACCGGATAACTTCTAGAATCAATATAGTTTAAGTAGTACCGTATCTAAGCGTTAGGCGGTAGGGCAAGATGGAGAGGAAAGGTAAAAAGCAGGAGGTGAATAGCTTGTTTGGGCGTTGGATGGGAGAGAGAATTCAAAAAGTTCACTTTTAATAGGTCTTCCAACCCTTCCCAATCTATACTGCAAGAACTACTGTATAGGAATCCCAGATTGGCGAAAGGTGAAACAAGCCAGAAACAAATCAATTTTAATAGCGGTTTCTGACAGGATTTCGTTTTAAAAACAGTACATAGGTCCTCTGCCAGCCATATTTTATTTATGGAATATTTAAGTTTTTTCCACAGGGTTTTTCCCACAGCGACCCTCGAACCATCCTTTGCTTTCTGGTATAAGATCTAAGGTAGCAGAACAATCAGGTCTGAGCAATTCTGAGGGATAGCCAGCCTTCTACGCAGGCTACTGCCGGTGATGTGGACGTAGAAGGTGATCAGCTCTATCTACATAGGCTCGGATGAAAGAAGGCAGGAGGTGAGGATGAAACTATGGAACTGCTCAATTATAACCAACAGAGAGCATTTATACACTACAAAGAAGGCGGTCCACCAACTGCCGTCGTTCTTTTGATAGCTTCAGAACCGATCACCTAGCAATAGATAAATTTTGAATGGTCCACTTTTTTTTCACTTTGCCTAGACTGCAGTTGGCGTCGGATTGGACTCTCATGAGAAGGGTAAAGTTGCAGTTCGCTCTGTTACTGCCATTCAATGTGACATCTGAATGGGTCTAGAGTATAGAAGTGACGCCATCCTGGTTACCTCTGTTGAAAAGAGCTAATGAAAAAAATAGCGGCCATGTAAATTATGGAGAGACTGATCGGAGTGGAGAGGAAAGGGAGACGGGCCGATGGATTGGTCAGAGACAGCGGCCTCGTTGCGCTTTAGATCGTGATTATCAGAATAACCACTTTCTAGACAGTTATTCTGATCATCCTGCATTTTCATCCAAATGTCTGAATCCAAAAAAATTAAGCTGAGATGAAAAACAGTTCTTTCAAATTCTACTTCTCGAAGGACATTGAAAAGACTGCTTTTCACTATTGTTGTATGCCCCTTCAGTAAACGAGACCATTGAAAGGGTCGTCCCGCTGATCCATCAGCTCAGAATTTTTGTGGAACCACAGCGGGAGCGCGAAAATTTACGACAACATGGAACAAATTCAGGGAGGCAGGTATGAAGGTCCAACTCTGGAAGCCAGTTGCTCAGCTCAGTTCTAAAAGGCTCCTATTCTGGAACTAATGACCTTTGGTTTGGTAGAACTGACGATTCACCTCACCTGAACCGGATTCGTTATGCTGGTCGGATGTGTACTAACCACCTCTATATAGCCATTATACTCTCTTAGTGGGCTTCATCCTCTAAATGAGGTATTTGTAAGCCGTTTTGTTCAGCAAGACTAAGCAGGTGAATGGTAATATGTATGTACGTTACGTAAGCTGTCGAAAGGGAATTCTGTAGTAGAGAGTGATTCCTGGAGTACCTTCGTATAAGCGAGGGCAAGCGGGGTCTCGGTAGTGTAAGGGATAAGAGCACGGTCCCCGGAAAGGACAAGTACGGGTTCGAGTCCCGTCCGAGACTGGAGTTTTGCCCACAAATCGCCAACCTTGTGAGGCTATAAATTCATTTTCATATCCGAGTGGCAGCACATTGAACTGCGGTGTACACCATACCCGAGCGAACGTGAGTTAGTACCTCACACAATGTTGGGGACGCGTCATGGACGGTTCGGAAACCTATTTCTGGATAAATACCGTCACTTTTGATAAGTTACCCAATCGGTAAAAGAATTTGTCTTTCGAAGCTGCTATCGTGTACCCGAACAATTGATAAAATGATATGGATAGTTGATAAAAAATAGCCGATAACAACCAAGTAAGTTGCTAATCTCGATCCTTTTCGGTCCAGTGTTTATTCTCTGATCTCCTAAACAGGTGAAGAGTTTTTTCTCCGCCAAAAGTTCTATAAATAGTCGTTTACCGGAGCTATTCAAAGCTGTCAGTTGGCTTCCACACCATCAGACTTTTTGACACCTTCGTAGAAATGTTGTTCGATGAGCAGTTCGTTTTTCTGTTCGTGCTGTCGATTGCAGAACCTTTCACGAGGTCTGGGGCGATATGTGAGCACTAGGATAAACCTTTTCGTTCCCAGAAGAAAATACCAATGTCAGTAGGTAGAATCAAATAAAACTGTACATTACTATAAACCCGAGTAGGCTCAGCGTCTACATACTTGTGCTTCTGCTATTTCATTTGTGTAAAGCGGGAGGTCTGAGCCCATATGGAGTGCCTCCGTACCAGCAATCATTTGATTCTGACCTTTACCAACACCCTCTTTTGAAACCGAGTAAGGGCAGGTGATACTGAAAAGGATAGAAAGCAAATTTCGTAAAAACACTACAAAAAAGAGGATTTCCGTCCAAAAAGCGAAGTTCGGCTACTCTCAAACGAAGATTATTTTCTACTTCAAACCTTTAAACAAATCAGATTCTGAAGATATTTCCTCGTTCGATTCCACCCCGACTTTTTTTTATTTTAACCTTTGGATTTTATAGAAGTGCAGCCCAATTTGGTTCTGGGAGGGACGCTGCCCTGATCGCGATTCTCATAATGGAAAACTAGCGGCAACGAGACTGGGTATTTCAAGTGATATTCACAGGCAATATCGCAACAAAGTGTTACTTGATATTCTTTGGAAAACCGAAAGGATCCTTGAGAGAGCTATGGTATCAATGAATCACAAATCACCTGACATTCTTCATCAACTTCTCGAGACCAACTGTAAAATCGAGGATCTCATTTTGCAGCTGCTCTTCGTATGTTTTCTTCAAGCTCTTTGTTTTTCGTGATTGATAGACCCTTAGCATCGACACTTTCTTTCAACTATCACGATATAGACCAACACTATCCTACATAGAACAAGCCTTCAATACCGCTACCCCTTCAGTCTTTAGTACTACTACCCATTCATAATGCTGTAACTAGCACCCTAGCCGCATGATAACATCTTCGAGAGCTGCTTCTGGTAACTTCTGAGGATATCAATATCAAAAGCTGTAATTGGGAAGTTGTGAGGATGAAACGCTAGGAAATTGCTTAAGAGGGACCAAGCACGAACTGTTAAGTGAGAGCCTCGAAGGTTATGCAAAAAAAAGTTCCCTCTTCGATGAGTAGGGAGAGAAAGGGCGGAAACCCTATTCGGAAACTTATTGCTAGCTTGCGGGGTCTTAGGTGTATCGAAGGCCTATCGGTGGTTATAAAGAAAACGATGATTTCAAAAATGGTTCTATTTCAAGGCTAGCTCAGTTCAACAGTAAAGTTGTTCCTCACCAAAATGGGCAAATTTCCGCTCATTCGTGGGAGCTCCTCGAAATACGGAAATTCGTTAGACTTTTTTTTAATTATAAATCACTTCCTAGAATAAACAAGTATTACAACTTGCCGCGGATTTCTGCGTGCAAGCTTCAGCCCGCTCATGCGTAAGGCTCGGTAGTTCGATGAACAGCACTCAGCCCGGAAGGATGCGGAAGTGTACGACGGCTAGGTTTTTCGGGCAAATGGTCATTCCCATTATATTCTTTTACCTTATGTTCATGGGCACCACGTGCACATATGCGAGTTGTCCGTTCGTTTTTAAAATTTACTACGATGAACCACGCGAAATGATTCTAATAATAGAAAATTCACTCGTTAGACTCGTGAAAGACAACGATAGCCTTCAGACGCCGTTGAACATCTTATTGTTCAGCACTCTTCAACATCTGGTAAGGCAGGGGTGGCTTGTTGTCAACTCGCGTACTGTCACACGCATGATCCAGGGAACGAATCTTGAGCAAATACTTGCCCGGGCCAGGAAGCCATTCTACTTTACAGGGTCAGTTATTAGCACCGGACACGTCTGAAAAGATATAGGCTCTGACATCTACATTGGCTGATCCCTGCAAGTCATTGTATAGGTCACAAACACATTCAAACACCTGCACGATTCTGAATGTATGTAGAGAATGCAAGGTGCATCCCACGAGTAGGGTTATTCAACATCAGAAGCTTTCATACTTTAAGAACTATTCAAAATTTGAGATGCTATTCGCAATATGTCGAGGCTTGAGTAGAATCGAAGGAATTGGAAATTTTTGGAGAAAAAGACAGGATTCGTTTCCTGAAACATGCGTGTGCCACTATGTGACTTGGCTGCAAACCACCTCAACCGTACAAGATTCTGAGGATTGCTTACGAATGACCAAAATAAAACTAATAGATTTTGTTTATGGTAAAACAAGGGGTTCAAGGACGCTCACGATACATCGGACCTAATACCCAAACCAAGACCTTACTCATGAAAAAGGCATTCCGCTTAGCTTTTGTACCGAAAATACGGTTTTTTTCTGGTGTTCCACTACCGTAGTTCAGGTCAGTCCCCGTGTCGCCCGTCTCCACGGTGATTATCGATTACCTCCAAGAAGGTACTAATGGTTACTGTAGCGCAATTACTGCCTTTCTGCTTCAAAAATCATCGATTCTTTTGAATCCATCCAAGCCTCGTCGTATTGTGGATAGCATCTCGAAGTGCCAGGAAAGAAATAATTAATAAAAAACACAAATAAATAGGTAAGGCAGCTGCTCCAAGCAGGAAGGCGTAATTAATTTATTGCTAGGCATAATACTTATTGGACATTTTGTCAACAATTTTAATAACAATAAATTAAATTAAATAACATTGTAATAAAAATTTGTTAAATGTATGTGATAAATGAGAGGATGAGATGTTTGGAAGCGAATTGCCAAACCGTTTGAGATCAAAGAAGTGGATGATTTTAGGGGTGTAAAAGTGAGAATAATGAGATCATCAGTAGATTATGACATTCAGCAAAATATGGAAGCAAAATAGCAATTAATGAGAACAAAAAAAAACCAAGGCATCTACAGCGAATTACCTCTACTATCTACTGTCTACTGGTAGTTATATACGACTAGCATTATCCGACTAGAATTTCTGGCTTTTTAATATCCATAATTCTTCATGTCTATTTGAATAATTGGCATCTTATGGCCTTTATCATCGTCATCATCCGAGCTCGAATCGTCTCCTTGTTGAGTTCGACCCACTTCAGCATCAGTGAATTCAATTCGATATCTGAATAGATCATTTTGATGTTACGGTAATTAGGTGGAGCTTTGGAACAAATCAAAATAAGAACTGTTTCGAAAATAGTGACTTTGGCAATTCGATTGAACCGATTCTATATCTGAACAGGCGATTCCTCAAAACAAAAACAGGTAAGGCTCGAAAAACTGTTTACAAACAAGTCAATGTATCGATTCAGTGAGAAGAATATGGGATGAATCGCTAGAAAGTGGTCAATTCGGAAGTTACGCCATGAGCTTGATAGTGCTTCACTTATGGAGGCACTTGAATGATTTGACCGTGTATTTCTGTGGGATTAGTGGTTCGAATCCCTTTTTCCCTCTTTCCCGTCCCCCCTCTCCGTCCCGTAGCCCATCTGTGGTCTAATTCGAAGGAATCTGTAGATTCAGATTGCTTCTGATCCTCTACCCTTGGGAAGGGATCCTTGCCCTTCTCGAAGTAGATATGACCTTCCTAACGAGGATTGGGATCACTTATTGATGGAATTTATAGATTTACATTGATAGGTAGTAAAAATTTTGAACAATTGCACCTACCCCTCATGCAGCTGTTCGACTTCCGCCGGTTGGAAGGCTGGCTGGTGTAGTTCAGGCACAGTGTTCATGACCTCGTCGGGATTCGTTGTCGGATCCAACGTATCGACTTCGAGATCAGCACACTGTACGTAGTCAATTTCCACCTGCAAAAATCAATTATTGAATTTATGTATTCCTCCCATTCAATTGACCCCAGAAATGGGAAACAAACCTTGTATTGGCATTTGGCAACGTAACGCACAAATTTCTCAACTCGATCGGAATCTTCGTGTTGTTCAACCGATACCGACCGTACTACTGTATTGGATACTGTAGCCAATGGCATGGTAAAATCAACATCACATCGTGGCAGGAATGCTTCGGGCATCAAATCGAAAGATGACAATTCAAAACGGCATCTGAAAACCAAGCAAATTGCCATAAAACCTAATGCATTGAAATGGTCTTCTGATGTAAGATTTCGATTGCATCCTTCAAGATCGGATCCAAGGGAGCTCTGGCTACGCCCACGTCAAAAGTTTGAAGTCCAAAAGTTACCTGAGTAGATGTGATTTGTAAGCCGCATGGTGTTTCTCTGGTATTCGTGGAATTCTCCAGACAAGCGACCGATAGACGTGCTCATATTTGGCTTCTCCAATTGCACATTCAATGAGATTTGTTTCATTGGACTGAACTGCACCAAGTAGCCGGTCTTTCAGGTTCTGAAAAACAATAGGCTCTGAAAAATGTAGGGTAATCATTCGGGTAGTAAAGGTTACTGGTTTTGTAAAGCAAAGGATTACGNTGAGAAGGTGTTAATTGGGCTCACCTTGACTTTCCCTGGCCGTAACTTTTTCGAATGGACTGAACCCACACCCCAATGCCGTTCTTCCCTGTAATTCACGCATCCAGTTGTTTTCTTGCCCTCCATAATCTTTATTACCCTTACCTGAAAATGTAGATCCACGCCTCGGGAATGGGAAACCGGATGGCAATATCTTCACAGGGAATTTGTCGTCGTGTACTTTTTCCTCCTCGGCTCTTCTCAATCTGTGCTGCTGCCATTGCCTCAATGCGAATCTCCACCTATAAATCAAATATGAAATCAAATAAATAATTATAATACAACCTTAATTCGATTTATAATGTGATTTCAAATTGAATAGGACTACTGGGTGCCCTTGATGATGCATTACAGTAACAGGGATGGTCCAAGTATCAGCTTGACCAATCTTCAGCTGTTTTGAAATCAGATTCTTCGATTTCGATCCCAACTGAACGTTTGAGGAGGTGCCCGATTAAACCTAATTCCACCCTCGAGTGAAGATGCAGCTTAGCAAAGTGGCGCCGTTAATGCACCCATGGTCCAGGGATCAGATCCTGGGATGATCCGTTCGAGCCAAATAACAATGACTTCAAAAGAAAGTAGGTTATATAGTGCGTGCGTCCAGTAAGGGAATAATTTTCAATAAAAAATTGTAAACATTCGATACCTTTGACCCAGCAATCTTCATGACGGCTTTGATCGATAGAGCCTTTTCTCTGTTCTTTGGTGGACGGATACGGAATCGCATAACCTAAAAATATACGACATTTTGCGGTAATAAATATAAATTACAAAAACCCAAGATAAAAATACCACCTCGAAGAAGCATCCATCAGGTGGACTGAGACGAATCACATGCTCACTATCGAAAGCGGCTTTGTCGACTGTCGAATGGAATTCCACCTCTTCAAAACGAATCCATCGTTCCGTATACATTGGCAGAATATCTTTTCGTCGTACGATTTCCTAAACATCCACTTGAGCCCTATGAATCCGCTCAATCCTTGAAAACCACCCACCTTTCCTTGTCTCCTTCGATCGTTCAGACCGATTTCCAGAATAGGAGAGCCAGTGACGAAGGCCAGGCAGAAGAGTCGGACTCTTGCTTTCTGATCCGACAGCGACCCCTCCTTGTCGACATAGGCAGAGTACTCATCGTAACAGTGGATCTACAAGAAGGTTCCGTGCAAGATCTAATTTTTTCATAAGAAACCAAGCCAGAGGTGACTATGCCTTTGTAAGTCCCACCTGCACTTCATCCTGCTTGTATACGGGCTTGGTGTCTCGTTTTGCGGGACACTTGAACAGTATATCTTCGATGGTGGTCACGAATGACTGCAGTTCACCGTATGTAAGCGAACCGAATTTCAGCAATACCGTACACTGAGCGGTATGTTCTAACGGCAGACCGTATTTGGTGATGTGTCCGTCGACGAGACGAGAAATTTGTCCTGAATATCGCCATTGAACGGGATTTCAGAAGAAAATTCTAGATTGGATTTATTTATAGGCCTGCGCCTAGCCTAATAATTTTTATATAATTGAACTCTTCACGTATGTACTTATCTGGTGCATCCCCAGAATATTGAGGAATAGTTACTGCTCAGATAGAGATTGAGAACTTTTACTTCCATCTAGACTAGACTTGGACTATCCACCTGATGGCTTTATTGGTAAACAACACCTGGAAACGTCATGCGAAATTCCCGAACAGCAACCGCTCAACGTTACATCCAACCATAAACTCTCGTCCAATACTGTCAAGGGTGCAGGACTACAACGACAACTTAACTCGGAAACCATTACCAGGCATCCAGAGTAAACTTCTCCTACTGCCCTAACAGCAACCCTTTCAAGTTATTTCTAGGGCAGAAAGCCAGATAAAAGAAAAAGCAGACATATCGGGCTTCTGATCAGTATTTTAACAAAGATACTATGACTAAAATTCCAATTTCTTAAAAAAACTTTCAGCCATGCGGGAAACTTATGCTCGTTTCCTGCTTCTGGGCGCCCCGCTTACAACTTTTCAAGGTAATAGGTTTTGTATAAGAAGTGATTGCATAGGTAGTGCATATATGTAAGAACTTTGTAGGACAAAAAGGACGGACCTGGTCGAATGCCCACTTTTTCCTTGTACAAGACATATTGCAATTTGACTGTATGTATCTTGCCATAGACATCATATGCCTGCAGTGTCGTATCAGAAAGTGAATAGCTGGCTTGAAGTAGAAGTTCCTACAACGAAGTGAGTACTGTAATCTCTTCCCTTAACTAGGCCAAACTCTCCAAATTAAACCTCGCTAGGGCTCAGAGCTAACCTGTATCGGTTTGTTGTCGGTTTTGGCATTGTACACAAGGAGATTATTGCCCTGAAGACGAACATAGCATGGTTTCCAAAAACGTTCTGCCATGAAGGTTTTCTTCTTCAATGGATGCCTAAATTAGGGGTTTGGGTATTCATATCACATTCTGACAAGCGGAAGCAGTTGCCGTACCTGACCATTAGCTCCCAACCTTCTCCAGTGAATTTCGGTACGAATTCAGTAAGAGGTTCCGAATCGTCTTCGTCATATAGTGGTGTAGGCGTCTCGAGATCCATACCCTGAAATTAGAGGTTCTAGAGCCTGACTACAGTCTCATCAACAGGGTTAAGTCGTACCTCGCATTTGAAGTCGTCCTCAAAAGCGTCAGGACGATGAGTTGGGCTAGTTACTGGACTACCACCTTCTGGAGTTGGCGTTGAAAGATCGGGACTCTGCCTAAAAAACCAGTGCTTAGGAAATATTTTCAAATTCTTCCTAGAACTTCTTGTTTTCATATTTGAAGTTGTCCATTCTCAAGTTTTGGGAAGGACATACCGTGCTCCACCCAAGAAGTCGACATCGTCATTAGCCTCTTTGGCCAAACGAGCTTGTTCAGCTTTGGCTTTCGCAGCAGCCAAAAGGTCTTCAGCTGGCTGGACAGCGAAGGGATCATATTCCTTTAAGGGAGAAAAATCAGAAGAAGCGGAAGAATGCTCAAAAACCGAGTGCAGTCTGGCGTTCACAGCCAATGTTCATACCTCATCAATGAGATCCTTATCCGGAGGTGCAAATGGATCACGTTCAGGTTTGAACTGAGTTGGTATAATAAACGGATCATAGCTATCTTGAGTTGAAAGATCATTGGCATTATTGCTGTCCTAAAAATCGAAGGGATTACCTTTGGATTTAAACTTTAAAGAGCCATTTTAGTAGTTGGAAAGATATTCACGACTCTCTGAAGGCCATGAGTCTGGCTTTCAAGGTTCTAAACAAATACACAAGCCGTCTTTGGGACTGTCTTCAAATTGTGGGTACCGGCAACAACTTTATTTTCTTTACAATTTTCGGAGAATTGTTATTTGACTCACATGACTCCCTTTTCTGATCCTTTTCTCTTTGATTACCTTTTTATGACGCGTATAAATCCCAGTAAAACTTTCAGAAGCGGATCAGCTTCTTCCGCTGGTAGATTTTAAGCTAAAACTCAAGAAAAAGACCTCATACTAGTACTCACCTTATTGCTGAAGAAGCCACTTTCACTGGGTGGCAGTTCTGGAGCAGAGCTTTCAAAGTCAGCCCATGCTGGAGCTGTTACTTTTGGCTCGTCTGGTGCCCTGTAACAGTAGGAAGCTAAGGAAGTTACTCACACGTTGATCTGATAATTTCAACAACAAGTAAATAAATAGTTTTGGTAACAGGTGAAGAGCCACAAGAGAAAGTTGGCCAAAAGGGGTGAAGCTGTAGTAATCACTCACGAATCGCCATGCTCCACTGATCCGGCCGAATCCTGCTGTGCCCCGGCTAGCGAACTCCTGAGATAAGTAAAGATGTAGTCGATAATGAATCAGAGTTCAAATCGAAAATGACTAAAACCGTAGGCGAAAGTAAGAAAGGTACTTTTTCCCTGGAGGAACAGCTGGGAGTGAATCCTTTCGTTCAACTGGCGCTGAATCATCTGTGGCTCCGGCCGTGGGCGGTTTCCAGTCCTGAAGGTTGGAAACCTTTTGCTTTGGTGGTAGGAGCGAAATGATGACGTAATGAATAATCCCATGTGTTAGTCAAAATCTATCGGCTTCCTAATCGACTATGGTTTTAGTTATGGATGCGCCATGCATCGTTCCCACCAATAGCGTGGTCAAGGAAACTGCTTCATTCATGCAACATGAATCAGGAATTAGCTCTCACTTAGAATAAGCTCTTTTAAGTAAAATAGATTTTAATATCGAAAGTGAAGCAATGTGCAGTAACAGCTGTGAAGGCTCAATGGCAACAGTTGGCGAACCCAAGACTCACACGCTTCAGTTCGTTAGCCTTGACGACATGGATCCCTGAAGCTCCTAATTAAGGTCATCCTAATATAGAACTGAAGTCATATAAAGCCAGAGAGCGTGGCGTATCACCAAGAATGGCTTGTTAGAGATTTCAATAATGGAATTCCTTGAGAAAGTTTTCTACAAATTCACAAGACCGGTCAGTTGCAGGCAAAACTTCTGCTCCGAACAGGACCCAAACCCGTACGTATGCTTTGCAGGTAGCGTATGCTTCATCTCTTACACTACGGGACTCCGCTTGAGTCGCCTTTTACCGTTTTTATGCCATAGCTTAATCAGCACTCACAATCACCCAGACATCGTCCTACTGGAGCTATAATAAGATCAATTAGGCCCATGTTCATAGACAGGCCCAGAAACGATATTCAAAAGCTTTTTTACAGGATGACATAAGTAGTCAATTCCATTCGAACTAGAAAAAAATGCTGTTTTAAAAGACTCCTCACTCCGAGATCAGTCCTCATGCTTGCCATTTTCATCGCCAGTTCCTGGGCTGCTCGATCCAAATTCGCTTCCTCATCAGGGTCAAANGTCGGGGATGGAGCTTTTTTACCTGGAAATCATTAATTCTGCGCAAAAACTTGGAAACAAGAGGAAAAGCAAAGATACCTTGTTGTTTCAATTTCTTCTTCAACATCTTCTCGTGCTGTTTTTGCTCTGCCAGACGATGTATTTCTTTCTGTGCAATGTTATCCACGTAACCTTGTGTCCCCCTGCAAAACACTTCACTCACACCCTCTCAAACAGTGACACATAATGGTGCAGAGCATTATATACTACTAAACAGGCCTCGTACGGTTACTACTGGTTAGAAAAAAAAAGAAAAAATACTTTCGATAAACGAAAAAAAATTGAAAACGACAGTTTAGTGGTCCATTCTATATGTCAATCCCTTCTGTATCCCATAGTCCTACTGGCTGTACTGGCAGTAGCGGCAGTTGAGTTAGCATTGATAACTTTGTCAACCAGTCTAGCTCTGAGTTACTATGGCCAGGAAGACTTATAGAGAACTTCAATTGGGATCGGATTTTTGGACCATTCCTATGATCAAAGCCGTTTCAGCTCCCTACAGTATCTACCGTACCAGTTGGACATAAACATCATCCACATAGTTTGACTTTGAAAGTTGGCTGGGAGTCCGGCTTATTCCACGTGGAGGGCACCGAGCAGTGTACTGGATATATTGAACCTTTGAATAGAACGTGGACAGATGGGGAGGAGGAATGTCAATGTTTTGAGCGATGGGCTAATTTCGAGGTTTTTCCAGGAAAAGCTATGTGAGGTGGCGGCATATTGAAGCAGCAAGATTCATGTTCATGGCGAAAAAACCCCGAAGGAGATGGATGACGCCTGAGAGGTAATAAACTAAAAAACCAGATAAGATTCCTCAAAACGAAGGGAGAAATAAAGTCAAAAATTACTTGAAGAAAAAAACAAAATATAAGGAAACATCATAAATCTGAAGAAAAAGCGAATATAAAAGGCTTCCTTGTTCACCCTCCCCGCTGCATTTATGTATATATCTCCCACGAACTTGAATCGGGTAAAAGACTCACCCAACTTGGCCCAAATAGCTTTCATCCTTTATCTCCTTTACCGCAGTGGTCTCGCTCAAAGTCTTCAAAGTGCCTTCTGTTGACTTGACGGCGACAGTCACCTACAGTAAATTCTTTTATTATTGAGAAGAGTGACAAGTAACAGTGACTCCGTCATTAATGCTTTTGCCACAGGAAGAAAAAGAGTGAACAAACAGTTTTGGAAGTACCTTTTCTGTTAGCTTCTTGAACTGTGTCCATGCATCTTCCTCTGGTTCTGGTTCAGCCGGTTTGGCCGGAGATGGGGGTCTCGGTGAGGGTGGACCAGGTCGCGGTGGAGGTGCCGTAGGTGAAGGTGAAGCTGCTGGAGGAGGTCGTGGCGGAGGAAGATGAGTGGTAGCGACTGAAGCTACTCGAGTGAAAGGAAATTTTGGAAAAATTCTATTAATTCATCTTTTCGAAGTTTTATTGTGGAAATCTTATTTCTACGTGAGTAGGCAATTCATGTTATGACATAGAACAAAGAAAAAACAAGTATACAAATAAAAAACGCTTGGGTAAAGAAAAAATAAATAAGCAGACAAATTAATAAACAAAGTCCTTTCACACACCTTGCTCATCGCTCGCACCAGTCCGAGGAAATTTAGGAGGAGCAGGCCTTGATGGAGGAGGAGGAGGCCTGGACGGTGAACGCTGCTCGGTTATCTGGCTCTGGCTCGTAGAACCGCTTGCTTGAGGTTCATGAGCAGCAGCTTCCCATGCGAATGGGTCTGATGATGGAGCGCTGAAAATTTTGCTGTATTCCAGGAACAATACAGCAAAAATAAGCTTCAAATGTCTAGAACGGTTAACGTTCAACCCAGCATACCTATTTTACCCCAACAAAACAATGAATCATACGTGAACTCGAAATGACCTATGTAGGTTGTGATTTGAATGTTGAAGTGGGACAACTGTCCGAAATTTTCTAGTCCCCTCTTACTTTCTAGCCCTTTGATACCCTCTAGGTGTTATTTAGCCGTCCCATATCTGTTTGTTAGACTTCAATTGATATTTTAAAGAAAAAAATTTCAAAAGTGTGGGGCCAAAAGTTGATAAAAAAGGCATACACAGATCAAAGGGATAGACGAAGATTAAAACTCAGAACGATGATTACTGAAGTGATGGGACAACTGCCAAAATATGCGGCTATAATTGTGAATGCTGCAGGAGTAATAGTTGAAAAGCAAACAAATAAACAAACATAAATAAAAAAGCGAAAGTGAACGACAAAAGTGCGTAATCATTAGATACCTTTGGAAAAGCGGCTGAGTAAATGGAGGAGCTGTTGTAGTTGGTTTCTCAGAGACACTTTGATAGAATGGTTGCGAGGGGGGTTGACTGGTACTCGCCTGTGACTGAACATGGTAACCTCCAGAATAATCTGAAAAGGAAAAGCATCTCCTACCCAGACTTTTCATAATCTGGAAACAAACGGAAGAACCATAAAATTGAGGCTCACCTTGGGCTGGTTGCTCTGTGGAATACTGGTAATTCGAGTAATCTGTCGAGTATTCTTGAGGGTATGTCGAATACGTTGCTTGTCCTGCAGCTGCCGAGTTGCCATAATCCGTCCCGCTCTGATCGTAACCATATCCACCTGCACTTGCTGCTGCACTACTGCTACCGTAACTAGCACTACTGTAGCTGTAATCGTAATGAGTTGCAGCAGTTCCGGCTGCACTGGTGTCACCAGGTTGATCGTAGCCATATCCAGTGCTCACATCGGTTGTCGTAGCGCTTGTATCGTAATCGTTAGCGGATTGGTCTCCAATAGGCGGTTCACTGTATTCGACAGGGTTTTGGTCATAGCCAGCATGGTAATAGGAGGGGTCCACATAGCCGTTCCCCTGAGCATCAGTGTACTGTTGGTCGTATGCAATGGCCGTTGTCTCGTATCCAGTATGCGTTCCGGTTTGGTCATATCCATAGTGTTGGTCGTAGCCGGCATACCCACTTGCTCCTTGACCATAAGCGCTGGTATCTGTTACTTGAGGATATACAGAACTTGTATAGGTGTCGTTTTGGTCATAGGCATACGTCTGGCCATAGGTCTGATCATAGGTGCCTTCTGGGTAGGTGTAGCCATCACCCTGGCCGGTTGCACTGAAAAAAGAAGTAAAAGATTGTCTCGACGGTCTTGAAGCGTTTTCTTACCTATAACCGTCATACTGGTAGGCATAATCGGCTGTTTGGTGTTGGCTTGGGTCGTAATTGGGGTCCACATCCCATTGCTGGGTCTCATAATTCCAAATGTAACCTGAAACACATGCTATGTGTTGACACAACGCCCTGGCATACATCCTTTTTTGCCATTTCATCTCCGTATCGATTTTCTGACACCCTATACTAAGCCGAATGACGAAAGCCGCTGTATAAATGAATAATTCAGAATCTCTTTCGAGGCAGACGGCATTCCGCCTTCACACCCGAATGGTCTTTACTCCCCCACACAATAGGAACACGCCCAGCTTTCGGATTAATGAAGATTAAGTTAGCCTACTCACTCCTGAGGTACGCTACTGCAAAGGCCCGAAGTGCATTTCCTAAATCGTTCCCAAACTATCGAACTGGTAAACGAAACTTCTGATAAAATGAAGGAATTTGCTTGATTACTAATCATAATTACCTGGATAAGCATTGGGATCATAAGCAGCTTCCTGGTTTTCCACTTCGGAAACTTCAGTAGGTTGTTCTGGTTCAGGTGCTGCTGTGGTTTCACCTGGAATCAAAATCTCCAGGTGTATCGCAGAAAATTGGAAAAAAGGAGCTCCTAGGAACGATTCGAAAAACATTCAACATTCAACTTCGAGGACAAATCTTAGGCCAACAATCTTCCCTATTTGATCTCGACCTTACCCGTTGTGGCATCCGTTGGTGGTGCAGGAGTGGCATCCACGTGGGGTACTGGTGCTTCGAGCTCTGATTCAGGTTCGTCCGTTGCCTGATGACCGTTGGAAGCACGAGGCTGATCAGCTTTGGATTCTTCTGAGGGCATAGACTTTGCAGCCAAAGCGCGTTTCCGTTCTTCAGACATGTCTTCGGAAAACATCGGCTCGTCTTCTTCGGAGGCCTATAAATCAAGAGCAAGTAATGAGCGGCAAAAACACTTACTAGTAAAAACGCCATCCATTTATGGCTCGAATTGAGACCGAAAATAACCACAAGCAGGGTAGGAAGTTATTAAAAGCAATTCTATGACCCTATAAAGATGCTAGTAGGATTGTAGTAGAGCCAAAGCAGTTAATAGTCATATGAGAAGAGTACAAATAGAATTGTAGCCTAAATGGACTTTCTGGGACCCATTGGAGAATGGAGAACGGCAGTCGGAGTGTCCCGATAGCGGCAGCTGGGCTAATGTGCCCATCGTAGTCCGTGGGGAGCCCTCAAGGGCCGAGGAATATGCGAATCACACACAGACACACTATGAATCACGCCCATTTGTCTGCAGAGTCCCGGGGAAGCTGACAAAAACCGGTATTAGACTAATAACTCCTGGATAAGGCTTTGAAGTAATGATAACGGAGTTTTGACGAGGATGTGGAGACTGGGAGGGATGTTGTGCGCAGGAGGGAGACGGGGGAAAGCTCGGTTTGGGAGATATCCCGTCTCTGACTAGCACAAATCAATAGTAACACGTGAAGGAAATAATTTGCATCGTGCCCGCATAGACGATTTATCATTGCAACTCGACTGGCGAACACCCCCTTTTAGTTCCCATGCTGAAGCACCGCACCCAATTAGCCTCACTAATGCAGAGAGTAGTAGAGCTCGTCAAAGTATCGGCAGAATACACTCACCTGCGGCTCGACTTTCACATCGCTCACCTTGGGCTTCTGAAATAGGAATGGATTAGTCTGCGGTACAAGCAAGTACCTTTCCCGGACTGCTCACCTTTGCTGTAACAGATTCCTCCGTAGTACTTGTAGTTGTAGTCGTCGTCGTCGTCGTTGCCATCGTCACGGGCTCCTTGGGAACCACCCCGTCAGATGATGCTGAAAGGCAGGCATTCTGAGCCGAAAGGGCGCTGTTTCAAGTACATTTACAATAAAATATGGCTCTAATAATAGAGTGCAATTGAAGGGTTTTCAAGGGAGACCATAGCCAATGTGGACTCGGGCCCATCCAACCCTTCGTGTGTGGCACTTTATGAATGATTTATTAAGGAATACAGCTAAAAATTTGGAAAAATAATTTTTTTCTGAATGATATGGCATGCGATGCGCTCGGGTTTTTGGTTACTACCCAGTAAAAAAATCCGCGTCGATTTTCGTTTTTCGAACTTTAAGATGCCTTTAGGAATTCAGCCGTCGACTGAGTATTATACCAGGAGCTGAAGGCCCAAGGCCCAATAAAAACGTTTTCTTGAGAGAAACCCTTTCAAGCGGATATCTGGTAAAAGCTGGACTTGTATGAGAATCATGATTCCGACTGGAATGGTCACTTGTACAGACTTGCAATTCAGGAACTTCCATCTGCAGATTATTTCGTACCATTTCGAACCATTGGTAGAGCCCCATTCCCTTTTTCCAGGCTATGAAGCTTTCCTGACCCTTATTATTAAGATACTAAGCGACAAGGCATTCTTCAGGGTCCTGAGAAGAATTGCCATATGGTACGATCATTCATATGGAATTAATGGCTACACATGGCCTGCCATGGACGAACGCGATTAAAATCGCTGCCTCCAAAGGTCGGATTCAGCTCTTTGTTTATAATTGAGGGAACAGGTCTGAAATCCGAAAGAAAAGGATCTCAAAAAATTAAAATGAGTTTTTCATCCTATTTCTAATCGATCGAGTTTTGGTTTCTTTGAGATTCAGGGGAAAAGCAAGTGAGGAAGAACAGAAAAACTGGAAAGGAAGTATGGATTGACTGAAAGGCCGACTGAGTAGAGAAGCAAGCAGATGCACAGATCAATTGCCGGAGAGTACTTAGTGAAGAGATTAATGCGCTTAGCTGATGGATAGCATGAAGCAAGCCAGCACCGGGGGAATCTGCAAAACGCTTGCTCAACATTGTCGAGTTATGGCTGGGCGAGAGGGGAAATTCAATTTTACTCGCAAAAGGACAGGTAATAATGCTGAACCTAGCCTAACAGCATGATTCAGAAGCATAAATTTGCAGGGTAAACAAAAGTATGAATTCTTTGACATCGACCAACCCTGTTTTTAATCAGTCCCTTTTTCAGATGCGCCACAGCATTTGATTTCCATTCAGAACCGTTGTGTCATTTTAAAGGCGCATATGGCCTATATAATGATTTGCTGTGCCCGGTACAAGTGAGTGATTTCGAACTCCCAGACGGAACTGATATCAATCAACCGACCTTAAAGAAACGGAAGGCCTAGTTGGCTTGGGCGAGCATCGATACATGGTTCGATCTCCGGACCATGGGCGTGTAACATTGGTCACTTGCCACTTCACCACCTATATCTATTTGTAGGGACCCCCAGCAAAATTGCTACTATCCCGTTCAAGCGACCCCTGGCCATGCAGAGAGCATTCCAATGAAACTTCGAATTTCTTAATCTAATAAGTAAAAAAGTGGAAATAACTCCGAAAAAATGTGAAAAAAACGCTCACACCTGGCTTCCCATATTGGTGCCTTATGGTTATTACTACTGATAGGTTACATTACCCAAGGACAAATATATGTATTACTTGATGATAATGAACTATTTCACTGCTCTTTCCTCACCTGTTCACTCCACAACGCATTATAGTTAATGACCCCAGCCGGGAACTGGTGCTTCAACCAATGCCGTCCCCAACTAACGACGCTGGACGTTGAACTGCTGGTAGAGCAGTAATGTCAGAAACCCAGAAGTATACCGTCTCTGAAGGACCTCCCATTTTACAAAATAATTTCTGATCGGACCTTTCTGTTGATATAAGACATGGGTGCGGACAAATACGAATAATCCTGCTAAGGTACTGATTTTAAATTATAGCTTTTACCTATAAGAAGATAGCTTACCTTATCTGTGAGCCCTCATCCCCAAACAAAAACTCTAGTTGAGTCTCGCTGGTAAAGGATCAGGCCCAAAAGCGGTACATGGACGTTACAGTGAATATTATAATGCCGGGATAGCCAAGAACCGAACCCTTTCCAGGCAGAGCGATTTTACATTACACTGGGACCTTTTGGCTAAGACATGAGACACAATTAACCTCTCACGTTAGCATGATAAACAAATCAACACCAACAGCAAATCAATAACAACAACGAAAAGAAAAACAACAAATTGCAACAATGGATTTTCCCAGAATGAGGCCATGAAAAACTGTACCTTTTGCTTCTTCAAAGTTCTCCCATTCAATGCTTGTTCTTCTATGAACGACAGGGTGAGGTGGAGCCTGGAAAAACCTTCCTTTGCATGATCAAGATCCTGGATACATTCAGATAGAGAATGTTGGAAATGAACAAACCTTATTTTTGTACTGCGGATTTTCCTCGAGAATATCGCCTTCGTAGTCGTTTAGAGGCGTTGTTCGGCCCGAAACGCAACCTCGTGACTGAAAAATGAGGTTCACGTCATTTTCAGGAGATATTTACTGCTGTCATTGCTCATGATTCATGCACAACACCCGAACGTTCGGGCATAATCAAAAAAGCAGCTGAGGAAAGGAGGAAGTCGAGGCGAAGACGACTAGAAGTGGGGAGAAAATGAACCGACCAAGTCTTTTCGTAGAATCGGGCAAATCTGAACGGAAACCCTTACGGAAGCCAAACGAACCTGAGGAGGCATCTGAGAGGAAATGCTTCCATAGAAATCCGAGTATGGCATATCAGATTTCCGCCTTCGTGATGCTGAAAAACTCTGCTTCTGCATTTGGCAGTGATGATAATGCCAAGATCCAAGGAGGGAGATTGGGGTACCTGCTCGTTCCTTGCTCGTAGGAATGGAAACTCTGATTTTCTTCTCCTCCTTCACCTCTATCGTATCTGAAAGAAAACATTTGAATTTCATTCTCGAACACTCTGCAAACCATCTGATTTCTAGGAACAAGGAGTCCCGACGGATTGCTAGCCAGCGGTAATGGGGCTAGCCCAGATGTCGTGAGCCCATCAGAACATTAGCTCGATTACTACATATAATCCCGGGTCTGCACGTCGATTGAGCCCCCAGCTTCCGTGATGGGTTGGGGTAAACAAAATGCTCAGAACGGCATAAATGGTGACTTGAATGAAGCTCTTTGTGGGAGGCAGTTATGCTCGCTGAAATTGCCCAGACAATTCGAGGATTGCTGGAGGGGTGGGGTGTCTTCGGCAGATTGATCATAACCGAGAATTTTCAGCTTAATCACATCATCAAATGCTCTATTTCAAGCGTGATGCATCCGGGGCTGACCGTAATCCTGAAAATGCGCCACCCTTCCGAGATCTTCGGAGGAATGCAGTTTTGTTTGAGTGCGAATTGGATTATTTAGTCCGTTGGATATGGGCGGTAGTCTCTCGACCGTTTTCCTTTCTCTTTACGGGTATGGTACTGATTAAACAAGCCCAGAAAGGGGAACGCTTGTCTAGCTGTAATCTGATCCTACACATGGTCCATACGTGGTAACAGCCCCCTAACACAGCCCAAATTTTCGTTCCACCTACTTGAAGGGGAAAAGGGTGGAATGAGAGGAGATAAAATTTCAATTAGGGACCTAGTGTATAATCAGATCTACCAACATGACTCCGTTCTTTCCTACACTTGTACCCCTTCAGAAAAAATCCACTATATCCCTCTCAGGAGTCCTATTCCAGGGGATGAGCATAGTCAGAGTTACCAACACGACCAGAACTTCGTATCAGCGAATATGGCAGCCGCTTTTTGGCATAATATTGTTCCAAGCCTTTCCTTACTTCAGTTTTGTTCGGATAGCAGCTGAAATTCGCTCAGAAGCTCACATCACCACACTGACAAAGGGGACCCGAAGGCAAAACATCTCAGAGAGTAAATCTGTTGACAAGATGCACATAGAAATCCAAGCCTCAGGCAGAAACATGCCTTCAAAAGGCGCATTGAATGCGAATCGCTCCAATGTACATGATTGGGTGGGCGTGGTTGGACGAGGACGTTGAGCGGTCGAGTTACTGTACTGCTTTCGTAAAGCTGCATGTTCGGGATCCTGTAAAATTAGAACAAAATATAAAACAGTAAAAGTAGGGGTCTTGGTAAATGAACTCAGGTATTAATGAACCATTTCGACTGCTAGAGAGAATCACTAAAAGAACTTCCCTATGACTTCAGAAGTGTTGCCAATGATCGTACCTGAACGTGTTTGGAGAAGGCCGATGGTGGAGTGGGTTTTTCGAAGGGAACTGGAACTGAATGTGTTGAGTGTAACTGTACCGAGAAAAAAAATGCCAACCTAAAGAATATGGGGATTTCGATTTCCCCGGCAAAAACGCCTCATGGGTCAGCTTTCGGTCCCGTACATTTGCCCCAAACAACTTGTAGAGTGGCTGAGACTTTGTCCAGTTATCTCAATTACTTTTTCCAACCATCCCTAGCCTTTCCTGACCATGGCCTTAGTACGATGTACTAGAAGATTGAAGTCCTCCCAGTACATCGTGTCATCGAACAGAGATATGTAAAAGCGGTCGTTAAGTCCGCTACATACTCGCCCCATACAGCGCCCGACCCCGCATAAATACATAACAGAATCCTTTCCTCACAGTAAATGTAACATCCAGTCCAAAATATGGTATTCTAAGCAATGAAAATGCTCGTTCCTAACTTGCGAATAACATTCTCGCAACTTGAAGTGCAACCTCGCAAGGACGGGATCTGGACCTAATGTCACACACATTCGTAAGTGATGGAAGCGCCTGACAAAAAAATTCTAAGGAATAGGCTATTAAATTGAAATTCACCCGCTTCAGAGGCCATTTCAACTTCCGAGTCCAAATCGTCGTCGTCCCGAAGCAGACTCTTATGTAGTTCATGTTCCTGAAATCAGAGACTGTAGGTAATTCTCCTTCTAGGCGAGGCTAGGCAGGTTCTGATTACATTCAGACTTGGGCGATGAAGAAGAGTTCCTAGAAATACTCGTTCACCTGCTCAGAATGTCCCGGACCAGGCACAGACATTTTGTATTTCTGCGTCTCACCTAAGGATGGATCCACGGTCGTCGTTGGTTTGACCTGAACCATGCTATTAGAAGAAGTTCAGGAGGTTAGTTAATTGATTAGTTTAACCAATGTGAAGGACATTATGTTGTCCTTGCTGACTTTATTTCCTTTTTGCGTATACCTCATAAACCCCATGGTCATGGCTATCCTATTGAATCAGGTATGGATTCGGATTTTTAGGGTGAACCACTTACTAGAGTAGGTAGGTGCCCGGACACCGTGATAACAGAATCTGAGTAAGTCCAGTCATGAGTTCTCAACGCGTCTAGCTCCAGGAAATCTTCCCACAGCTATTCCCGATGCCTGTTTGCGTTTTCGTGATGTCAGAATGACGTCAAGAGATGGAGTGCGAGGAGCAGAGTGGTGGCCACCTTACTTAGCCGTCGAGGCGCGAGCACTCCCATATCGACCATCCCTCCAACACCGCTCAGACTCTCCAGTACCTACATCTAGTTGTGATCTAAATCTTACTGCAGAAAGACAATGCAGCTCAAGATGGTGGCAATATGAACAGCAAGTTAATAGCCGGTTATAGCCACCAAACAAATAAACAAAACACGTAAGCAACCCCTCTGAGCGTAAGCTAAATGCATCGGGTAGCTCGGGGTCCCTGGATCAGGTGCTAGTAAAACAAATTGTTGTAGGGACTAATAATACTCTCTCAGGTCATATGTAATGACTGAAAATATTCCCTAACCACAAAATACTACTTGATACTTTGAATACCGCTTATGTGGTAAATGGAAAATCAGAAAATCAATCAAAATTGGAAAATCAAAAAATGAAAAACATGCTGATGATGGTCCTATTGGCTTGAAAAATCAGTCGAAACGGTAAATACGGTGATTTTTTGAAGTAAATCGCAGCTGAAAGAAACGCGGCTCTTGCCCTTGCCCCCTTCTGTGGTGTCTTGCCCTGCTCAACAATATCCCAAGTTACTGTTCTCGAGTGGGAGAACCGTTACCCTTTCATGGTTTCCACGTCCCCTTATAGGACCCCAACTTCGCGAACTTTTTCGAAGTGCAATAATGTGCAACTTTGCAAAGATACTCACCACTTCGACGATGGTCTCATTGGTGTCGCTTGTCCTCATCGATATGCGATCGATGTCGAGTTGCGCAGGCAACTCGGGAGCAGGTGGTAAATCGCATTCGATTGATTCAGTGAACGAGCGCATTGCACGAAATGAGGCGACACGTTCTATAAGATAAAGCACATAATGAGCAAAAGAGTAATCCGAGCTTACGGTCTAGGTTGCTTGGCAAACACACATTCGTGCGTGAGATTATTGGATGACCAAGATTAGATTAACGATCACAGCAACGTACCAAACTCAATCAATGCCTTCAAGAGGTTTTCCTGGTTTCAAGCTTGCCTTCTGAACAGCATGGCCGAGGTGGGTAGAGGGGGGGGGGGGAGAGAAGGGAGTTATAAACACATAAAAAGACTCATTCCGCCCCTTTTCCCTGGAGCAGGACAATAACCGCAATGGAATCAACAGCGATATTACTAGTACAGCTACTGGATTACTGATAGAAGACGGTAGAAATGAAGAGAGCAAGGAAACAAGCAGACTGCCTACCGAATGAGTAAATTCCAAGTCGATTCCCAGATAAAATCAAAGCCTAACACATTAACTCGACCTTCTCTACGGAGTAGTTGAGTTTTTTTGATACCCCACCCTTTTCTAAGGGATTTACACAAGTCTGTTCCCAAGAAGTTATCAGTACAGAGAAAATACGCCTAAAAATCATGGTCGTAGATTTAAGTCGAGTGCATGGCGCGATCCCAAGCCTAGTTCCACTCAGGAGGGCTATATGTTTAAATGAATTTTTACCAATGTAAATCAGAAAACCTTCACGGACGTTGGCATATCTCTTTAACCCTTAGAGGCCCCTCATAGCCTCGACCATCCATAAATTTTTCGTAAAGAAATTTTCTAATCCCTTGTTTCTTCCATATGAACCCTCCAGAACCGCTCCGGTAATGGCACCTTCCCAAGTCCTGATCCGACAACTAATTTTAACGTGGGATTTTTTGGAGTAGGAGTATATTGGAAGGGTAATCGATTGATAATATCGATTTTGAAAACAAAAGTTTTCTCAAAAAAGATTGGTACAGAGTAGTCAGCAAGATTAAGCCGTTTCGAATGGTATAAGAGCAATAAACTTCTTACACTGAAGAGATTGTGTCGTAGAAGTGAAAGTGGTGGGAGAGTGAATCGAAGGAGCTGGCCAATCTAGCTATAGGCAGAAGCTGTGTTCGTGAGTAGTAACATGAAAAACAAGGCCGAAAAACATGAATTCAATAACATTCCGAAAACAGAAACGTCCTTGGTTCCAGCTTTGGCACGGAAGACTCGTCCTTTTCCAAGAAACACTCTATGGATCTTTCGATGATCCATTACCTCGACAGATGAGAACCTGGATTTGATAGAAAGCCTCAGGTGAAGGATTGACCGCTACCGCCACCACCGGAGAAAATCCTTCCAAAACGGAAACTTTTCAAGTATGGCAGCTGGCTGGGGGACTTAGAGTACTTCAGTGCTTCAGTGTTTTAGCGAGATTGGCTGGCTTCCGTTTCTGACAATATGGACATCCAGTATGACGCTGAAATATTGACTGGAGCTTAGTGGCGTTCGTTAGAAGACGGAGAGTTAAGACGAAAACACATTGGGAGCCAGCCAGCCAGCCAGACAGCTTGCGTACCTCTGCTCAGACACTTCCACCAATGGAAAGTGCGTCCAAAATGGCATTATGTAAGCATGTCTGGATCTAGATACCTCGAAAATCTGTTCTCAGAAGCTTCATGGAGGCTCCAGTTGACATACCGAAAGTACAGGAAATTCCACAGTTCAAACGAAAAAAATAGTTATTTAAAGAAATTCTAATGGGTGGGGATCAGTGGAGATTAGGAGGAAAAGAGGGGATGCTAAATGTTGACCGGTATCTCTAGAATGCGCCATGAACTCGAAGCCTATTTGGAATTGCAGCCTGGAAGAGCCTGAGTTCTTCAATCATGGACACTTCGAAGAAATGAGTGGTTCAGCAAACTTGTGCAGGGCACGATCTAGTTTCTGATCCCTTGCCCACGGGTCTGATAGAGGAATCGCCCTTATGGGCAGAGATGAGAGTGAATGAAGGATTCCTACAGGAGTCGAACTTACCAGAATTAGACTGCAAAGAGTCGTCGTTGCGAAAAGCGTTTCGGCCTCCATGTGGATCGAATTCAAGAGGCGAATGGTCACGCCAAGACATTGGACATCTGAAATGTATATGGAATTGGTTCAGAAGAATGCAGGGAGTTTTTGAATGAACTCAGAAAGATAGCGGAACTTTGCGTGCTTGCGAAAAATGGAACCATTTGAAAGCTTCATGAAGACGGAGAAAGTAAGGAGATCTCTGAAGTAGGGAGGCTTCAAAACGAACGGAGAGATCAATTTGAAGTTCATGGCCCGTTCCTCTGTCAGTAAAAGCAGGTCAGAGAACCAGAAAGAGGTAAAGGTAAAGTCGCTTCGTATCCATAAAAATCTCTTGTTCATCCCCATCATTCACAGATTCCCGAGTGGGTCTCTGGCTAAGGACTCTGAAAGACAACAAGTAATTCTTACCATCTGCGTGAGGTCATTAGTTCCTTCTGGATGTGGGTGACGTGTTGAATGTGACGTGGGATGTTTTTTCAAGGACTTCGCGTCAGAGATTTCCCGAAACAAAGGGCTAGGCCGAATATAATAGAGATAAATAAAGTCTATAGCAGTAATCAATCTCGTTTTTGTGAGGCGCCCCTATAGCCAACTTCCTTTCAGAATCGTAGTGGCGTATCGAATGCGTAAGCGGCCTATACAATCAATTGCGGGAGCGAACCGGTGAGTAAGTCAGTCTTTTATCCTCCCCTACAAGCCTGGTACCAATCAATCGACCCCAGAGGAATGGAAAGTATGCCTGGTCGGGAGACGGTCGATCTGGGAATGAAATCCAAACCAATCATGTTTGACAGTGGGCTCGGATGTTGTTTTATAGACATCACACTCCAATAATTAACTTCCATGATTAATATTGAATTTAATTTCTAATTAATTTCTATATTTTCAAAATTTTTTCGCGACCGTAGAGAAGTACTTAGGATACCCACGCACTTTAACCTCGTTTGTTGTACAGTGGGCTACTTCAAGATTTTTTGCCGTTGAAGTATGGAGGGGGGAGGGGGGGAAGGGGTTGCACTTTTATGGGGAGGCAGTCTGCGTGTAGTTTGATAAATCACGTGTTATATGTACCTGCTACAGTAATACGCCCTGTGTTGATTCAGTGAGTTCTTCGTGACTTGATTTCCGAAGGCTGAAGTCGTAAAAATGAATAATCCCCCTTGAAAAGCATCTAATCAGAAGCTATCTTAATTGCATCCCACTAAAAAATCCCAAAAGGGAGCTCTGTTGAGGATTTTCTCTGAATAATCAATTCAAGCATTTCTGTGAAATCATCTCAATGGGTAGAACTGAAAGAAATTAGAAAATGTCTTGTTTTCCATGAATCCAGTGCCAGAGCTTACTTTCGTGACAAGAAGTCGCTCTAGGGTATAAAGGCGGTGTACTAGGAAGCTGTCAAACAAGGAGCCCCCTCTTGGCCTTCTTCCCTCCCCTCTTGAACCTCCCTTCACGGAGGGTAGGATGGGAGGAAGAGGTAGAAGAAGGAACTACTCATTTTAGAGCTCTTCAGGCCCAGCAGTACTTTGCGATGGAGGCGCCACATAGTTTACTTACTTACTATTGTATTTTTTTATTTATTGATTATTTATTTATTATTCACTGAATTTATTTAACTGCAAGGATGTTGCCCATTCTGTATACATTATATACAGATATCACCACGATTTATGTTTTCATTTAGGGAAGCAGTTATTTCGGGGACCTCATCAACCCCGTTCGGGATACGTCGGACCCTCTTCAAGTTGGAAAGAATACAGAGCTTATAAAAAAAAAGAAGTGGTCGACTGAATTTGTACAAGTACAGTCGACCATTTCATATGTTTACCAAAATGTTTACTTTGGCCATTCGTGTGATTATGTCAGTGAAGTTTTTGTGATAGCGCACCTACGAGTGCTTTTAGTAGATAAATAAATAAATAAATAAATAAATAAATAAATGAATAAATAAACAACTGACTGTGAACCGGTTTCTAAGCCATCGCTGTAGCTGAATGGGTCCAAATAATCAACCTCGATAGAAAAAAGCTCATTTCTCTCGAAGAACCTCAAGCGGTTGGCCATCCTGTGATGGAGCCTCTCAGTACATCCTACCACAGTACCCCATGATTATCCATACCAGCTTTTTTCGATTGAGAGCTTTGGCAAGTCATATTTACCCCCTTACAAGAGGAGGAATCAAATTTCTGAGAATTAAATGTAAAATTACAAATAGCAAGAAGTAATCCGAAGTCACATTTGTTCAAATGCGGGAGTTTCTGGGTAGTTCTCGAACAGCCAGTGGCCGGAAAGGTAATTATTGAGAAATGAGTAATTACGTCAAAATGATGTGAAAAATGTGGCAACGAGCGTTTCACAACGAAATGGAGGTCCTGCAAAGAATTGAACGCTGAAACACATACATCCACAATCGTAAGCTGCTGATTGCCGTTGGTGGGGCTAAGAGCAGCTGCGTCGTACTCGTTCCGCCCAGTTCTAATGTCACATTGATTCCCACATTGAAAGGAAGAGGAGGCGACGAAAAACACAAATGAGATTTGTTGGTTAAATGGCTCAAGGGAAGCCAACGCCCACACAAAAACCATCTGACGTGAATTGTGAACAAAAAAAATTTCTTGAGAGAATTCAGAGTGTGTAAGCTTGAGAGTGAAGAGCTGAGTGGGATCGTTGAGAGGGTGAGTTTGGGCCTGCGGGATAAGTAAGCTCGAGTGCAGGAAAGTAAGCAGATTCCGTGGTGAAGCTATTCTTCGCATTTTATTTGGGCCATATAAGGTTAATGACTAATGACGTCATTCCAGTACAATACTGCCTCCCGGCTTCAAGTAATCTTCCCTTCATTGGGGTTTTCCTCTACTTCCTCTACTTCGAAAGATTAGTTCGAGTGAAAAAGGGCTTTCGGGCGAAATGAAAGGTCATAAAATTGCGTGATGACGAGCTTATGTGGCCTCATTAAAAACTTCTATCGACTGAGTCCAGCTATTCCGGATACGACTAGCCAGACAGCCATTTCACCAAGGAAGAGGTTCAGTCATTTCCGAGTAATCCCTATTTCCGTTTCCTTGAGCGTAAACAATATTGCCATTTGAGGAAGTTGTCTCATGACGACAGTAATTCCCATTAATGTCACATTTCATAAATTCCGGAGGAAACCGACCAAACATCTCAAAAACACTCTTGATGGCATCTCAGTCCAAAAGTAATGATGGCTGAAACTAAGTAAAATGGGAATTTCGATGAGCCTTCTACATCTCGGTGGAAGTCGCCGAGTGCATGGCACATTCGCAATTCCTAATTATACTGCTATTGCCAAAAGCCGTCCTTCCCTACCTTCCAGAACGGACCCAAAGACATAGGTTGCCAGGCATGTAGTCTTTAAATCACCGTTTTAAAGGTTTATGGCGCATACCGAACATGAAAGCAGAGTTTTTAGGGATAATTTCTAATAGAAGCACTGAAACACGAATACATGGACGGTAAGGGTAACAAAGCTCCACCCCTTCGCTCAAACTCCGCCTTCAAACCTGGTGAAGCGCTCAGTGTCGTCTATTTTTGAGAACCAGTCAAATGAAAAGCAGATTCTTTCAAATCAGAATCGTTACATGATAATTTGCTTCGCTTCACAGGCACAGCTCTACCAACTGATGGTTTTTGACTGCCCACTTCTAATTGCAAAGT